TACGTGTATATATATATATGCGCCGTTCGTTGCAGCGACCCTGGCACTCTCGTCCGAGTGGTCAGATTCGGAGGCGCACGTTTGATTGGCTGAGACGCTCACGCACGCCAATCAGGCCGTGCTCTCTGTCGCGCGAGGCGTCGCTTCTTGACGCGATTGGGTTTCTCGGAGCGACTGTCTCCGCCCCTATGACGTCACGAGTGCCAAGTTCCCAGCAACGGACGGTATGTTTGTGTGTGTGTGTGTTTGTATGTGTGTATGTTTGTATGTATGTATATATATATATATGTATATAAAAAGAAGAAAAAAAGAGACTATTCCTGAAACGAATGAAAAGTCTACTCAGTATTGAGCAATACATCGAATACTCCTATTTCTTTAAATAACATAACATTTACTCGATATGTACAACTAAATCTTCTCGACGAACGGAACTCCCATCCGGCTCGAATAAGAAATAAAAAGGAAAAAAAAGAGAAAAGAAAGGGAGAAACAGTTGTATAAAAAATTAAATTATCTTCACGGTAATAAAATGTACACCACGCGCTACACGCGGACGCGACCGGACACCAGACGCGAGACATGGTTAACACGTTGAATGCCCGGGTCACCGGTGACCCAAATCGAATTGCTATAGCTCATTCAATTGAACGATGATTAGTTCGAAAACATATGTGTATTATAAATAATGGTACTCAATGAAGTGACGTTCAGCTGGATGAACGCACATTAGTAATAATTCAATCAAGTGATTCGATATTATAGTTTTTCCATTTTGTGGATTCTGCTCTATGAAATCGCGCGACGTTCAACGAGTTAAACAATTTTATACTCTCTTTCGCGAGTTAAGAAAAATCGAAAGTAATGAGTGGACTGCGGACCTTCGTGCGTTCATTGGAAACTTGAGACTGAAGAACAGATTGAAATACAGAAAGTAAGAGTTTTCACGGTATTTGTTAGGAAACATAATTTGTCATCATTTAATTTCTAATTTTCTGATAATATCGTTCTGTTTTAAGATAATATTCTGAAGAATTTTCATTTGCACGAAGATCCACAGTCTGTTGATGAGAGTGACTGACAAGAGAACCTTTTCCACTAGCACAAGCCAATTTCGATGATACTTATATAGAAACAAATCTTTTTTCAAATTGTTCGCCTTCAAACGAACAATTTAACACGTTGACTGTTAAAAAAATGCCCCTCAAAACTCCTGCGTAGTCGAAACAGTTTTCTCAATGAAGGAGAGACTAAAATAATAATTACTATTAAAGTACCCTAAGTGCATTCGTCCTGCGCTCGACAAGTACATACTTCGATTTTTCAAACTAAATTCCACAGTTGACATCTTAAGGAAATTAATTTTCAAATTTTCAAGTTTTTAAAGTGATAAATTTCTTTTACACGCCCCATAGATTCTGAGATATACAAAATATACTTTCAATCCTCCACTTTAAGGGATGCTTTCACTTTCCTTCAAAGTGAATGTTGATCAATCAGAAAAAATACATGTCAAATATTTTCCCGATAACTATATCCTACATAAGTTCCATCAAAATCGATGTGTGCTAGTTGAAAAGGTTCCCTCACGAGTCTCGACAGTGTCAACGAGCTGCGTCCACGTCCGGCCGCGTCCTCACAATCAGAAGACTCTAACGATACATATTAGAGAGAATGAAAACGAAAACTCGATGAGTATTACATGGTAAAATAAAACAAATGA